TGTTATGAATCGTAATGTAAATATCTGATATGCAGGATGGTCTTGGGCGACCCCTGTGAAAGGGTCGTTCGACCGCCAAAGGGGTCGAGACCCACAGGTTGAGAACCGCTGCCCTAGGGGGTCACAAGAACTAAACGTTCCAAGGGGCCCCAAAGACTTTCTTTTTTTTAAAAAAATATATTGATTTTTTACAGAGAGGAAGGGAAAGGGATAGAGAGTCAGAAACATCGATGAAAGAGAAACATCGATCAGCCGCCTCCTGCACACCTCTCACCGGGGATGTGCCCGCAACCAAGGCACATGCCCCTGACCGGAATCGAACCCGGGATGTGCCCGCAACCAAGGCACATGTCCCTGACCGGAATCGAACCCGGGACCCCTCAGTCCGCAGGTCGATGCTCCATCCACTAAACCAAACCGGTTAGGGCCCCAAAGACTTTCTCCCACCCTCCTCTTTGGGTTTAGGGTGGGCTACCAAGGCAAGGACCCTGAACAGCATGAAATGGGGGACTTGGAGCATGTGAGTGACTTCAGTCACCCCCTCCGTGGACCGCAGTTTCTACATCTGTGAAATGGAAGAAGAAAGAGGCAAAGTCGATTTGCACTTTGAGCATGTATCTCAGTGCCTAGCTCAGGACATGCTTTCCTCAAATGTTACCTGTTATTGCGATTATGTGACCCTCACCAAGAGCCCACTTTATCCATGAAAAGACCAAGGCTTCAGGAGGTTAAGGGACTTGCTGAAGTTGTCAAAGTCCATTTTGGGGACACTGAAGATGGTGCAGTGGACCCGGCCCAGGCATCCGGATCATGGTCTGGAGAGAGTGACGGACATGAATCAAAGAATTCCCCAGAGCTTCCACCAGTGTCAGCCTGGAGTGGGGTATTAGGGAGGGTCTCCCAGAGGAGAGGTCGCTGAGCTGAGACCCAATGGTGAGGATGAAGGAGAAAAGAAGCATTCCAGGTGGTGAGCAGAGCATGTGCAATGGCCCTGAGGTGGGGCTGTGCTTGGGTGTGGAAGGCCGGAGTGGGTAGAGTGCAGTCAGTAACGGGGGCGAGAAGGATGCCTGTAGCACAAATTCAAGGGGAATATATTAGTATTCTTATGAATGGGTGAAGAAAAATCCAGAGGGAAATAAGGTGTAATGCTGAAGACAGATGGTTTATGAGTGAGGTTATAACGGAACTTTATTTTATTCTTTCCATTATTTGCAAATTATCTAAGGTGAGCATGCTTTACTTCTAAGTCAAGGGGCAGGGAGAAAAATTGCAAATAATCATTCCCTAAAAAAATTTTGCCTTTTAAAGATCCAGAAGCAAATTCACCAAGTTCATGACCCAGATGACGTTTAATTTTCCCTCTGTGGAATTTCATCATTAATTGTGATGATGAATTTTCAGTGGAGTGATTTAGTAATGAAGGGAGCTGTTCTGGAAGCCAGAGGATGCTGGGAGGACCTGTGTCACACATAAATTTTCAGGCACGGAGAAACCAAGATGTTTACATAGGTAAACACCGGAAATTGCTGCCTCCGACAACAACTTCAAAAATACAACTAAAAGACAGAACGGTCATCATCCAGAACCACAGGAAGGCTGGCTGAGTGGAAATTCTACAACTAGAAGGAAAGAGAAGAGCACACAGACTCAGAGGAGCTACGAAAGTAAAGTGCAGAGGTACGGAGGCTCCGGCGCG